GGCTGGGAAACTGGCTCCATGGTCGGACCCAGAGGGTGGTAATTGACGGAAGTCAATCGTCATAGTGCCTTGTGACCAGTGGGGTCCCTCAAGGCTCTGTCCTAGGATCCATATTGTTCAGCATCTTCATTAACGATGTGGACATTGGAGTCAGAAGAGGACTGGCCAAGTTTGCTGACGACACCAAACTTTGGGGTAAAGCATCCACACCTAAAGACAGGAGGGCGATCCAGGCTGACCTGGACAGGCTGGACGAGAACCTGATGGTGTTTAACACTGAAAAATGCAAGGTTCTCCACTATGGGAGGAAAAACCCGCAGCATCCTTATAGGCTCAGCAGTGCTATGCTGGCTAGTACTACAGAAGAAAGAGACTTGGGGGTCATCACTGACCACAAGATGAACATGAGCCTTCAATGTGATGCTGCAGCTAGTAAAGTAACCAAAACGCTGGCTTGCATCCATAGATGCTTCTTAAGCAAATCCCGGGACGTCATTTTCCCCTTGTACTTGGGCTTGGTGAGGCCGCAGCTGGAGTACTGTGTCCAGTTTTGGGCCCCACAATTGAAAGAGGATGTGGAGAAGCTTGAGAGAGTCCAGAGAAAAGCCACGTGCATGATCAGAGGTCAGGGAAGCAGACCCTACGATGACAGGCTGAGAGCTATGGGGCTCTTTAGCCTGGAAAAGCGCAGGCTTAGGGGTGATCTTATGGCCACCTATAAGTTTATCAGGGGTGACCACCAGTATCTGGGGGAACGTTTGTTCACCAGAGCACCCTCAGGGATGAGGAGGTTGAACGGTTATAAACTACTGCAAGACCGTTTCAGGCTGGACATAAGGAAGAATTTCTTTACTGTCCAAGCCCCCAAGGTCTGGAATAGCCTGCCATCGGACAGGGCAAGCATCTACATTGAACACCTTCAAGAAAAAATTGGATGCTTCTCTTGCTGGTATCCTGACCCCAGCTGACTTCCTGCCTTCGGGCGGGGGACTGGACTCGATGATCTTCCGAGGCCTAACGTCTATGAAACATTAATGCCAACTAGCTTTTCTTGTGTCAAATTGTGTGTTGGTTTTTTTTATGCTGAAAGGTGTCCAGAATCTAAGTTGTAACTCTCATGGCTGAAGAAAAAAAGTTTTTAAAGATACAGACTCAATGTATTCACCAGCCAAGAGCAGAACCTTTCACAAGAGAATTTTATGGAAATGCCACTTGGCTCAGGTGTTCTGACTAGTCTACACTGCTTTTCACCAGCTGATCTGGAATGCGTGACTGACTGGAACATTTTGTATATTACAAAATCTTAGATAAGCGTACAATGGTTTTTAAAAATATGGCCAGCACCAAGTAATCTAGAGGCAAACTCATCAGGCCCCATAAGCCAGAGGCAGGGCACAGGGGCAGCCTGTGGGCTGGTCTGGGTCCTCAGACCAACCCTGTGTGCCACATGCATGTGTCAGTCTGGGACACACTACATGCAGTGCACGGGACCAGTTGAAACCCACAGGCAATGCTATAGGCTGAATGATAGAGCCCCACAGGCCACATCTTTGACACCCCTGAAGTAATTCACAAGACCAAACTACTGTGTATAGCAAGGTTATCTAAATCTGAGCAGTTGAGGGCCGCAGACCCGCTGGCCAAACACCACATGAGTTACATGCCTCCTAAGTCACACAGGCACCTCCCACTGAACTGCATCATGCCATGTGAGACCCCTCCCGCTGTACTGCATGGGGTCCACCAGGTTCCTCAGAACCTCCCCACTAGCAGGTTCCCTCAGCCCTGTGGGCTTGGCCACACTGTCGTGCCCCATCCCCAGGGGCAGGAGTAAGAAGTGGAAGTTAGAGGATGAAAAGGGAGCCCTGAGACACTGGTGGCAGCAGCAGGAGCACCAGGGAGAGTAGCACCCAGAAGGGGAGCCCAGAGGCCACAGGTTAACTCCCTGGCAGCCACATGCAGCCTGTGGGCTGCCAACTGGACAGACCTGGTTTATGGTACAATCTGCTAGGCATTTTAAAAACAGTGTATTAGATGTTCAGAGGACAGCGACAGTCTCCTTTTAAACTTTTTACAAGTCAAGAACAGAAAATCTCTCTCTAAAGTCTTAGATCATACACAAACACTTGATATATATCAGTTATGGCTGCTGGACACATAATATACCATAAGGCAGAAAAGCAAAGAAATCAAAAGTTAAACCATCCAACAGTACATACACTCTGCTTGTTCATGCAAAGGCATTTTACCACTAATATAACTACCAAACACCAGGAACACCAACCTTCCAGTATCCCTTTCCCAAATTAGGAGGAGGCTGGCCTTTCCAAGCTATATAGAAGAGTTGGGGATGGGGTGCTAGAAGGGTAGCAGAGTTACTGAGATGGAATTTAACACTGTTTGCTCTTTTGTTTAAGGGATAGAAAACAAGAAAGGGAAATGGCCCAAGAGGAGAAAGAGGCCTCTGGAAAGCAAATTATGGATACGACTAGAGTCCAGCCTGCTCTCCCTGGTTTTAGCAATGGTTAACATTTTGGAAACAGGTCTACCTGATGTAAAGAATGGTGGAAAACAGGGAGAAGGGGGAAAAATTGCTTAGCCTGTCTAGGAGAACCTGCCAGATCTCCAATCCTCTGCAAAATAACCAAATAGAAACACAGCCCAGTCAGTCTGTAACAAGGAAAGAATGAGTGCTGATGACCAGCGACCCCTCCCACCTATCATGGTTAAAGCTAGAATGGAGGACACCCTCATATGAACATTCTTGCATTGGTGTCCAAAACCAGAACAGAAGGGGGACAAGACAACGTTCAGAACTCAGAGATGAAGAAACCAGCAAAAAGTGCTTTGTTAGGACATGTTATTCTGCCAGTGACCAGATTACTGCCTTTACAATCCCAAAACCTGGGATCCAAATTTCATTCAACTCTCACTTTGAGTCCAGAGCTCACATATGCATCACTTGTACATCTCTGTACACCAACATCTGCAGTGGTAATGGATTACAAGCCATAAAGAACATTATCCCCCAATGATGGCACTGCTTATGTTTCCATCACACACTTTCCCTGCTCTAGCCTTACACAACTATTTCAGATTTGGGATCTCACTATGTCTATAAAACAAATGGAAATGCCATGGGCACATGCACAGTCCCCCCGCACTTTGCAAATGTATTTATGACAGATCTCAAAGTCTGCTTCCTCTGCAGCTGCCCTCTTTATCTACCTGTTATACCTAAGATACACTGATGACATCTTTACCCTGTGGATAAATGGGAAGGAACCTCTAAAGAAATTCCACCAGGACTTTAACAATTTCCACTCTCCCAGCCAACTGACTCTCGAATACTCTACCCAAATTAATTTCTTGGACCCCACTGCAAAACTTTGCAATGGCCACATCACTACTATGTTGCATCAGAAACCAACCATCTATTACAGCTACCTCCATGCCACCATCTTTCAATCTAAGCATATCACTAAATCCATCACCTACAGCCAAGCTCTATGTTACAGCTGTATCTGCTCTGTTGCCAGCAACCATGAGGCACACCTTAGGAATCTGGAACAAGACTTCATACACTTATCATACAATCCCAGAACTGTAGCCATTCAAAAAATCAGAGTCAGACTTGGACCTCACTCCAACCTGCTATAATACCAACTCTGCAATGTGGACAACAGAATCCCCCAGTCATCGAATACAGCCTAATGCTTGAAAACCTCTAGCTTCTTTTAAAATGACGACCATCTTAAGGCAGCCTTGGGGGGAAAAGCCCGTCCTGGCCTATAGACAGCCCCCACCACCCTCTTCTCCCATCTCAAACAAGGTCTCTTAAGCAACTGACTACCTAATGCCAAGTCACTAGGTCTTGCTTCAGATCCAGATACCAGCTTTGCTCCCTCATCAACACAGACCACATTATCACTGAACCAAACCACATAAAATGTAACTTGCAGGGTTCATTCACCTGTTTAGTACCTGTCTGCTGTTTACATTGGGCAACTGGGGCAATCCCTATGTGAAAGAATGAATGGATATCTATTTGACATCAATTCCAGAAAAGCACAAAAATTTATGGGGCAGATCTCTTTAACTTCCCTGGACAGTCCATCACTACCCTCAATGTAGCTGTCCTTATATAATAAAACTTTCAAAGCCACTTTGAACAGGAAAATGCAGAACAAGAAATCAACCACAATCATTATTGGATTGTGTTAACCATGGTCTCTACAAAAGACTATGGGTTCTTACCCCATAACCTGGGACAGCTGTTAGCTCTAACAGTTTATTCCTGTATCACTCAATGTGTTAACTGCCTTATCCTTACTGACCTTTTAAACCAGTCCTTTGTTTCTCTCAGCAGTGCCCCTCTCTCTGTACTTCTCCACTGTATTTAAATTCCTCCCTATTTTACATCCTTTCTTACTCCAAAGCCCATAGCACGATGAAATAGGCTGTCACCTATGAAAGTCCATGCCTCTGAACCAATGATCCTCTACGGTGTCAGCCTGTACTGCCTTCTGTCTGACTTCAAGCTAGCATGGCTAATCACCTTTATACACATCACTTGGTAAGGTGAGTAGTTATGGTCCTTGTTCATATTTTGAAAGGAAAACATCTCATTCCCAGCATATAAAGGCAGGCAATATCAAGACAGGGGACAGCACATTTAGAAAAAAATGATCCCACAGGGCTCATGTCAGATTTCTAGAACACCCCAAAAGATCAAAACAGAGTACACTCACATAACATAGCATGGGGCAGTTTAAAAAAAAAAAAATGTGTAAAAGCCCTGCTTTGGATCAATTAGCTGACTTCATGATTTCAGCTATAAGCTGGTAAAGGGAAGTTCTTGCACGACTCTCACTTCCCCATCACCCCGAGCACTGCAGCAAGCCAGGTGCTTCCTGGCATTACTTGCTTTCATACACTAACAAGTGCTGGCAACAGAATACAGGACTCTATTGAGCAGAGGTGCCTCAGCTGCTACATACCTTGACATCAGCTATGAGGGCATCCTCATCTTCTATGCCTGTGGGGACACACTTCTTGTGCAGGGGCAGAGACTCCAGCTTGTCCATCAGGCAGCGCAGCCCTTCCAGCTCAAACTGAGTCAGGTGCACCTTGTTGCTCTTGTGTGGACTGCTGGCAAGGGGGTCCCAGGCCTGGCCATTCTGGGGGGCCCGGCTGGAGTCAGAGGAGTCCGTGGATGGGGTTTTCTTAAGGCCTGGCAGACTCCTGCAGCCTTTGCTTAGTTCGTCATAGTCTAGGTTGGCACCATTGGCCACAGGGCTTGTGAGGACCGACCGTCTGGTGACCGGGCGTCGTGGCTCCTTATCAGCTGCATCCTCCTCTTCATCCACATTTCCTGACTCTGAGGAGCTCAACTCCATATCTGCCAATGCCATAGAGAAAAAGAGCAATGAGAGAAGCAGAGATGTAGGCCCAGCCAACCAATTAGCTCATGGGATGCTTCAATTTTTCAGGTTCTTCTACTACGTGGGAAACTCCAGAAACTGCCTGAGTAGTCAAAAAAGAGTATCACTATTTCCAAAAAGTGCTAAATATAAATCAGCTTGCTCCCAGACTGAGAGAAGAGAGGGACTGAGAGTATTGCCATTTCTACAGGAGTGTTACAACAAGTCTGCTCTAACCACTGTTTCACCACACTGCTGCTAGGGGAGAAACTGAGAGAACAGGTACAGGCAGTCCTCAGACTTACGACTCAATAGGTTACTGAAAACTGTGTCTTAAGTTGAAATGTTGCAATTCAGAACCAATTTTCTTATAAAAAAAACAATGTTATAAATGGGGGATTGGTTCCTGTACCAAGGCCCGATACCCCATTTTCACCAAAAATACCCCAGAATTTTGTACTAGATTAATTATAGATGAGTAATATAGCTATATTAATGTATTTATATCGCAAATAGCAATCATATTGATCTGGAAGGACTTCTTTGAGGTGACTTTGCTGGACTTTTTGAAAGGCTCTTGGTTGGACTTTTTGAAGGGTTCTTGACTGGAGTCTTCTCAGGAGTCTTGGCTGCAGGTTTTTCTGGAGTCTTGTCTGCTTTCTTAAAGAAAGTGTCCAAGGAAGTTTGGACAGATGTTCTCCAGGGAGATGAGCGACGCAGCGAACTTGTTCGCTGGTGTGGCGTCGCATCGGATCAAGCGTTGTAAAGTCGAAACTGATGTCAAAGTTGAAACAGGGTGTCAATTTATAAATGTTATAAGTGCAAAACGTTGTAACTCGAAAAGTTGTAAGTCGAGGACTGCCTGTACTGACCATGCTTAGACTGGAAAAGGCAGGACTGTGTGCAGTAGTCTACTCCAGATTGACCAGATTAAACTACTGAAGAACACAGACCAGGAAAACCTGCGAGCCTTGCCTTTGATGGAATCCTCTGGCTAGAAATCAGAGCCCCAGAAACTCTATGGCTGCCATGAAAGATGCCCTTGAAGGGCTGTTCACCTCCATTTAGGGAGTAAGGTTTCACATTGCCCTGTACTGACTATATGGATCTAGCTATAAAATCACCAGACACCCTTGCAACTTTCACTCTAAAGTTCATAGACAGTAGCATAAATGCAGCCCATTGTGAGGTTCCAGACCTTTCCTTGAAGCCATATCATGGGAGTAGGAGGAAACAGAAAGATAGCTTGTTTTGACTCATGGCTAAAAATCACATCTCCTTCTCCCGGTCTGCAGTCTCCCTCCAGCCCCACACTGAACCTGATCCCCTTAAATATAGCTAACAGGAAAGAGAGGAAATACCCATAAAAACCACCCTGTGAAATTAAGGAAGCAATCCTCCTGAATTCCCCCACCAGAGCCCTCCCCACCCTGCCACTCAGACAGCCAGATGGTGCATCAGAGGGGAAGCAAAGGAAACTGCTTTAGCACGGCGAGGAAGGGGTCAGGACGAAAACTCAGGCAGTAGCTCTCACCCATGCTGAGTGACTCCTTCTGGAAGTCCTTGGTCAGGTGGGAGCGGTTGGTGATACAGTAGACATAGCGTTCCAGCACATACCAGCACATCTCATAGTAAAAGGGGTAGCGAAACTTGTTTGGGACCTGAGAAGGGGAGTAAGAGGCAGAAGATAACAGAAGGAAAGGGATCAATTACGTTCCTAAATATAGAGCAGCAGAGTTTAACAATGCTTCAATCATCACACAGAACAGGTTTATTCTGGGGGTGGGAACTGCAAGTACACATAACAACAAACACTTAAGAGCACTTTCAGCAGCCTGGCACAAACCTCCTCATGCCGGAAGGAGTCACCAGGTGTCAGACAAAGACACAGTTCACTTCCTAGTTATTAGCATTTCATTCTTTATTGTTCAGGGTCAGGGATCTTTGCTAGACTTACTTTTAAATAAACTCTCCCCTAATTAGTTTG